CTGCGGTGGTCCAGCAAGATCGAACTACTGTGACCCAATCGGCAACTCTTGACGGAAGCCAGTTCTACAGGAAGTCCGATCGCCAAGGCTAGAATTTAAAAATCTGGGGATTCTGTTATTTCTGATTTATGAATATAATCGGCCAGTTAGAATGGTATCCGCGAGAAGGAAAACGACCATTAGGGTGGTCACCGAAGAGGCAACGTGCAGATATCGAACAAGAGATGGACACTAACTAGAGTTTTGCAGCCCCTGGTTTGGCGCCCGGTTTGTAAAAGCATCTCATTCCATCACTGAAGTGAGACACCCGCATTAACAACCCGAGCAATCTGGTGTTCGTGATATTTAGCTTTTATAATACTTGAAAACTTGGATAGCTTTATTTTCGCATTGCCCTTATTCTAGTTGTGAGTGAAGTTTCAGAACGAATACTGGCTAACGTTCTCATTCTCGGATGGCAAGGATAAGAAGCTTGGATGCGCACGCCTGTGGGTCGATGTGTGCAAATATCATCTACAAGTTTGTGTTTAATAGGAATAACCGTTACGATTCCTATAGTCGTTTCTGTGGTTAACTGAACTGGCTGCCATCAATCAGGTCCTAAAAACTCCTGGAAGAGGAAACCATCGACAGCTTTACCAGCGAGTAATTGCTGTTGGCATGTTCTATCACTTGGGTTACTTCTGGTGCGCCTCTACTTTTTTTAGAGAGCATATAAGAAGGGCTGTTACTCTGATTCTTTTTTGCATTAGCTACATAAAATGACTTCTTGGAATGGGTAGAGGAAGCTAGAAGTTAGAGGGAGAAAAGGAAATAGAACTGTAGAAGCAGTATATAGTACCACAAGTTCAAGAAATCAGATATCTGGACTCCGACCGAGCTTTACACCCTGAATTTCCAGGATAAGCAGCAGAAATGTTTGCGGGACCCGAATGCATTCAAAAACTTCATCAATGAGATCAGCAGTCAAGCAGCACAGATCAGACGTCGCAGCGGCTCAAGACCATGATTCGTTCTGTAAACCATACGGGAACAACAGCCAGTGCGCTTGTTTGTTTTCACAACTTCTCAAAACAGCTGTTGTAATTAATGCAAATGTAAATGATTTGCCGAGCACAAAGTGGGTTTGCGTGCAATTATTATGTACTTACAAAAAGATGATGTACAATATTTGATTATAAAAAACTGCATTTATTTTATTGCGATTATTACGAATCGTCCGGATGATCGGTGTGATATCCTCGATGGTACTGGGATGCATGCCCGTTACTGTCTCTCGTTGTCGGGTTCATTCTCGCCACTGTTTTAGCCGGTAACTTCTCCATTCTTCTTTATTTTGGGTAGTTTTCATTCACATGGTCCCGGCTTCTCGTCAACGTTGTGCGAGTGCCGATCAGTAATCCACTTTGTTCATCGGTTGGGCCAAACTACCTGTTTCAAATGTACACAGCCTTTCAAATGATACTGCCATTCATGTCAAGCCAAAACAGCAGCACCGCATTTCTAGCATGCTGCAACTTGTTGACGCCTGCTCGCGTCGCTGCATAATTTTTGTTCAATCACCATCAGCTGTCCTATTCAACAAGCATGATATTCAAAATATTTCACTCTCACACAACAGAACTGGTAACTCTCGAGGCACTGGAAGTAACTCGAGTGGGCAACAAGGCAAAAGAAGCAGCAAGCTATGGCATGTGTCGATACCAATCTACCATTGAAACGAATCGAATGTCTGGCCGGGTTCAGACGGCGGCTGCAGCTGCTTTTTCTGTTACCACTTCTAAAGCGACTATGCATATTTCGCTGAGGTGAACATTTCCAAAGATCAATAAGTAGTTTATAATTTCGAATATATGGCACGTGTAATACAAGGCACATAAACATAGCATTGTAAAATGGCCCCTGGAGAAATATGCTGCTGTATATGGACTCGTTCTGTCAACGTCAAAATCCTTTCAGCTTCCCCCTCCGACAAACTTAGGAACTGTAATTAGCACAGTTAATTATGGCTTCCTCCAGCGATTCTTGAGAGTAAGCTTAAAGCAGTTTAACGACTGATGTGCAAAGGATGACAGTACTAGGCTGCGAACAAAACGAACTTAAGATTCACAGGGAACCTGTTTTTCTCACTTTCTACCTACTATTACCAGAAACCTACCAACTAATCAAACTTCTCAGTGGAAATTTTTTTGCATCAATTCCGGAGGCCATTTTTGTTATCACAGACAAAAAGTATTTCACAACCCGATACCACATCAAACCTGAGCGCACTATTCAACAAATCATACCTAGCTTATTGGAAGCAGACTTGTTACATAATCTTCACATGGTTTCGGCGGTTGCTGCCCAATTAGTTGAGCCAAAAATTCAAAAATAATAGTCGGTTTAGGATAATCGTTGTCCAGCAAAGTTACCAAGCAATATTCGTCGTGAATTTTCTCCAGAAGGCAGCGACTTGCAGTTCCTTCGGCGTAAATGGATGCCCTGAATAAAACAATATAAATAATTGGCCAACGCACGGGCTGCCCGTGCGAAGATGCGTTTTTTGCATGGTTCCCCGCAG